ACAGTTATGGCAAGGTGGCAACCTATATGGCAGCCACTGTGTGGCGACAGTATTCCCCTCAAGGTGTCAGGTTGTTATCAGGGAGATACAAGGATGTCGTACCATCTTGCCCTCCTAGTGATGGCCCAGATCATTCTATTTCATAAAAGCATTTTACAGTTTCCTTTCGTGAATGCTCACACACCTTTGGCCCCCTCAGTTTATCCTGTTATTTTTATTCTTGTTCTCCCTTTTCTCTCTTTGGCTTCCATTCTCGCCCAGTCACCCCTCTGTTTCTCTGTTGCGAATTCCTCCACTTCTCTTCTACACTATTCTTGCTATACGTTTATCTCTATTTCACATTTTTCTTCTCACCTCCCTATCTCTTCCATTCTCGTTGTGTCAAGTTGGTGGTGGACTCGAGAAGGGGGTGATGGTACTCAGCTAGTTATGCTTGCGGGGGTTGAGCTCTGGCTCTTTGGTCCCGCCTCTCAACTGTCAATCAACTGGTGTACAGGTTCCTGAGCCTACTGGGCTCTTAGCATATCTACACTTGAAGTTGTGTATGGAGTCAGCCTCCACCACATTACTGCCTAATGCATTCCATTTGTCTACTACTCTGTCTAGTCTGTGATGCTGGTGGGTATAGCCCGTCTCATCCCGTCTCTTGTCAGCCTCCTGTCCCACCTCATCCCGTCTCTTGTCAGACTCCTGTCCCACCTCATCCCGTCTCTTGTCAGACTCCTGTCCCACCTCATCCCGTCTCTTGTCAGACTCCTGTCCCACCTCATCCCGTCTCTTGTCAGACTCCTGTCCCACCTCATCCCGTCTCTTGTCAGCCTCCTGTCCCACCTCATCCCGTCTCTTGTCAGCCTCCTGTCCCACCTCATCCCGTCTCTTGTCAGCCTCCTGTCCCACCTCATCCCGTCTCTTGTCAGCCTCCTGTCCCACCTCATCCCGTCTCTTGTCAGCCTCCTGTCCGCCGTATCCTCATTGTATTTGCCAATCACCTGTCAGACTCAACATCAACCCAATTTTAAAGTTATACGTTGCTGCATTTTATAGAGCGGTGACACTTTTTAAATTATTTTCTACAGTGACAAGTTAATTGGTCGACGGGGATATACAGGTCGCCTAGAGCTTCTGTCTGTTGCTGGAGGAGCAGTTGTGGTGGTGGTAGCACGTCTTAATAGCCACCAAAGGGGGTCAGATTCACGAAGCAGTTACGCAAGCACTCACGAACCTGGGGGCCGGATTCACGAAGCAGTTACGCAAGCACTTACGAACCTGGGGGCCGGATTCACGAAGCAGTTACGCAAGCGCTTACGAACCTGGGGGCCGGATTCACGAAGCAGTTACGCAAGCACTCACGAACCTGGGGGCCAGACTCACGAAGCAGTTACGCAAGCACTTACGAACCTGGGGGCCAGACTCACGTAGCAGTTACGCAAGCACTTAGGAACCTGGGGGCCGGATTCACGAAGCAGTTACGCAAGCGCTTAGGAACCTGGGGGCTGGATTCACGAAGCAGTTACGCAAGCGCTTACGAACCTGGGGGCCAGACTCACGTAGCAGTTACGCAAACACTTACGAACCTGGGGGCCGGATTCACGAAGCAGTTACGCAAGCACTTAGGAACCTGGGGGCCGGATTCACGAAGCAGTTATGCAAGCACTTAGGAACCTGGGGCCGGATTCACGAAGCAGTTACGCAAGCGCTTACGAACCTGGGGGCCGGATTCACGAAGCAGTTACGCAAGCACTTAGGAACCTGGGGGCCGCATTCACGAAGCAGTTACGCAAGCGCTTACGAACCTGGGGGCCAGACTCATGAAGCAGTTACGCAAGCGCTTACGAACCTGGGGGCCAGACTCACGTAGCAGTTACGCAAGCACTTACGAACCTGGGGGCCGGATTCACGAAGCAGTTACGCAAGCACTTAGGAACCTGGGGGCCGGATTCACGAAGCAGTTACGCAAGCACTTAGGAACCTGGGGGCCAGATTCACGAAGCAGTTACGCAAGCGCTTACGAACCTGGGGGCCAGACTCACGTAGCAGTTACGCAAGCACTTAGGAACCTGGGGGCCGGATTCACGAAGCAGTTACGCAAGCACTTAGGAACCTGGGGGCCGGATTCACGAAGCAGTTACGCAAGCACTTAGGAACCTGGGGGCCGGATTCACGAAGCAGTTACGCAAGCGCTTACGAACCTGGGGGCCGGATTCACGAAGCAGTTACGCAAGCACTTAGGAACCTGGGGGCCGCATTCACGAAGCAGTTACGCAAGCACTCACGAACCTGGGGGCCGCATTCACGAAGCAGTTACGCAAGCACTTACGAACCTGGGGGCCGGATTCACGAAGCAGTTACGCAAGCGCTTACGAACCTGGGGGCCAGACTCACGAAGCAGTTACGCAAGCACTTAGGAAGCTGGGGGCCGCATTCACGAAGCAGTTACGCAAGCACTCACGAACCTGGGGGCCGGATTCACGAAGCAGTTACGCAAGCACTTACGAACCTGTACATCTTTTCTCGATCTTTGACGGCTTTGTTTACATTTATTAAATAGTTTATACAAGCATGAAAACTTGCCAATCAACTGTTGTTATTGTTATAAACAGCCTCCTGGTGCTTCGGAGCTCATTAACTGTTTAATAATTGTAAACAAAGCCGCCAAAGATTGAGGAAAGATGTACAGGTTCGTAAGTGCTTTTGCTAACTGCTTCTTGAATCCGGCTCCCAGGTTCGTAAGTGCTTGCGTAACTGCTTCGTGAATCCGGCCCCAGGTTCCTAAGTGCTTGCGTAACTGCTTCGTGAATCCGGCCCCCAGGTTCCTAAGTGCTTGCGTAACTGCTTCGTGAGTCTGACCATTTGAGCAATAAAAGGTTGACATATAACTTGCTTAGTGCCGTAGACGCTAACAAAATTTAAGCCTAGTCTAGAAATAGGGAGGAGGGGGGGGGGGGATTGTTTCAACCTATCTGTCAATTTTCAATTATTGGATACGTTTGATCTCTTAATGTAATTGGTTCTCCCAATTCCACAATTTTAGGAGGGAGGTAAGTGGGATATAAGTCCACGTGAGAGGGCGGGGGACTTATCCTGGGATATAAGTCCACGTGAGAGGGCGGGGGACCTATCCTGGGATATAAGTCCACGTGAGAGGGCGGGGGACTTATCCTGGGATATAAGTCCACGTGAGAGGGCGGGGGACCTATCCTGGGATATAAGTCCACGTGAGAGGGCGGGGGACCTATCCTGGGATATAAGTCCACGTGAGAGGGCGGGGGACCTATCCTGGGATATAAGTCCACGTGAGAGGGTGGGGACCTATCCTGGGATAGGGGAAGATAGAAATACTCGAGACCGGATAATCACACCCAAGTTAGTCAACACCTTAGGGTTGCATTAAATAGTGTTGTGGTGGAGGCTGACTCCATACACAGTTTCAAATGTAGATATGATAGAGCCCAATAGGCTCAGGAATCTGTACACCAGTTGATTGACGGTTGAGAGGCGGGACCAAAGAGACAAAGCTCAACCCCCGCAAACACAACTAGGTTAGTACCAGACAATGGGTCACGGACTGGCAGGAATAGTATAGTCTGCCCTGCACGTTTTCTATGAATACAGACGCCACCCTCGAAATAAGAAATTCTTCAAATTTCAAAATTCAAATTCACGTCAAAGTACATACATAGAAGATGAGTTTACAAACATAATGTTTGGATTTATAGATAGAGCTAGTAAACATGGCTATACCTAAAGTATGATAGAAAATTATCTCTCTAAAGTAGAGCGTTTCTGCCCGAAACGCTGCGCGTACAAGTAGCTTTACAATAATGTAATTACTAGGCTATGTATCCTCACAATCCCAATGTACCTTCTTGTATATATATATATATACATAAATATATACCATGTGGGCTCGTTTCTCAGTGACGTCGCGAGCAGACGACGTCTCCGACCAATGGCAGAGCTCGACGGAGGTGACGTCACGTGGAGCAATTCGTGGCTAGGGGGCAGTTTCTCAAGGCTGTGGAACTGTTTAGCGTTAGTGTATTGTATTGTGTATTGTATTGATGTATTGATGTTGCTGCCGGCCCCATTCGTTGTTGTATTAGATTTAGCTACTCAGAAGGAAGTGTCCGTGTAGCACGGGCTATGGTGAGCCCGTAGACCTTCAGTTCACATACGTAAAGTACTGGTTTACAGTTTGTTATCTGTTTGATCGAATCAAGTGTAGCGTATTAGTGGCTTTATTTAGCTGAAGGCTACTACCACCAGTGGCCTCGGCGAGGACAGGAAGCCGCCGGCTTGTCGGAGAGTGTAGTATATACTAACTCTAGACAATCCAACATTCTGGCCCGCCTATCAACTGTTACTAACTAATCTAATTACAAATATTTGCCATGTAAATAGAGAGAGAATAGGATGAGAGCCTTATAGATTTTATTGTATTGTTGTTAATACATCAAAATTATACAACGGCCTCGGGAGATTGACCTTAATAGTTATCTTCTTGAGGTTATCTTGAGATGGATTTCTGGGCTTTAGTGTCCCCGCGGCCCGGTCCTCGACCAGGCCTCCACCCCCAGGAAGCAGCCCGTGACACCTGACTAACACCCAGGTACCTATTTTACTGCTAGGTAACAGGGGCATCAGAAAGAAACTCTGCCCATTGTTTCTCGCCGGCGCCTGGGATCGAACCCAGGACCACAGGATCACAAGTCCAGCGTGCTGTCCGCTCGGCCGACCGGCTCCCCATTAGTTAATGACACCCCGAACAACATATCGCAGACTCGTTGATCAGACCACACACTAGAAATTGAAGGGACGACGACGTTTCGGTCCGTCCTGGACCATTCTCAAGTCGATTGTGACTTGACAATCGATTGACTTGACTGATTGTTACTTCAGCCACGTTATTGTGACTCATCGCCTGCATAACGCAGACTCAATATAGAATAACCTTTTCCTACGTCGATTTATAACCATTTTCTCTTATTTTCTACCAACAGACAGCAACTTCGTACTCGGAAACGCGCAGGTTCCCGCGCTCTACCCGATCGTCTACTGCAGCGACGGCTTCTGCGAACTCACAGGCTACGCCCGCGCGCAGATTATGCAGAAGGGCTGCGCCTGTAAGTTCCTCTACGGCCCGGAAACCTTGGAGGAACAGAAGGTCGCCATCGACAAGTCGCTGGAGAGCAAGACGGAGCTGAAGATCGAAGTCATGTTCTACAAGAAGAATGGTTAGTGGAGTCTCTTCTAGTCTTATTATTAATGGCAAGACTTCGTGTCGCTTATGTGGAGATAATTGGCTGGTCAGTTTGATTTAAGATCTTGGAAGGGATGTGTAGGGACAGGCTGGGTGCTGGGGATGTGGGGGACAGGCTGGGTGCTGGGGATGTGGGGGACAGGCTGGGTGCTGGGGATGTGTAGGGACAGGCTGGGTGCTGATGTGGGGGGATGTGGGGGACAGGCTGGGTGCTGGGGATGTGGGGGACAGGCTGGGTGCTGGGGATGTGGGGGACAGGCTGGGTGCTGGGGATGTGGGGGACAGGCTGGGTGCTGGGGATGTGGGGGACAGGCTGGGTGCTGGGGATGTGGGGGACAGGCTGGGTGCTGGGGATGTGGGGGACAGGCTGGGTGCTGGGGATGTGGGGGACAGGCTGGGTGCTGGGGATGTGGGGGACAGGCTGGGTGCTGGGGATGTGGGGGACAGGCTGGGTGCTGGGGATGTGGGGGACAGGCTGGGTGCTGGGGATGTGGGGGACAGGCTGGGTGCTAGGAATGTGGGGACAGGCTGGGTGCTGGGAATGTGGGGGACAGGCTGGGTGCTGGGAACATGAGGCCAGGCTGGGAGCTGGGAACATGAGGCCAGGCTGGGAGCTGGGAACATGAGGCCAGGCTGGGTGCTGGGAACATGAGGCCAGGCTGGGAGCTGGGAACATGAGGCCAGGCTGGGAGCTGGGAACATGAGGCCAGGCTGGGAGCTGGGAACATGAGGCCAGGCTGGGTGCTGGGAACATGAGGCCAGGCTGGGAGCTGGGAACATGAGGCCAGGCTGGGAGCTGGGAACATGAGGCCAGGCTGGGAGCTGGGAACATGAGGCCAGGCTGGGTGCTGGGAACATGAGGCCAGGCTGGGTGCTGGGAACATGAGGCCAGGCTGGGTGCTGGGAACACGAGGCCAGGCTGGGTGCTGGGAACATGAGGCCAGGCTGGGTGCTGGGAACATGAGGCCAGGCTGGGAGCTGGGAACATGAGGCCAGGCTGGGTGCTGGGAACATGAGGCCAGGCTAGCAGCTAACTTGCGCTCGCAAATGCTCTCCAGATGTTTGAAGTGAAATGTATTTCGCCTTTTCGATCAGGGCACCATACAAGGATCCCATAATACTATTCAAGGCACCATAGTACCATGCATATCACAGTGGTACCATACAAGGCACCATGGTACCAAGCATCTTGAGGTTATCTTGAGATGATTTCGGGGCTTTATAGTCCCCGGTCCTCGACCAGGCCTCCACCCCCAGGAAGCAGCCCGTGACAGCTGACTAACACCCAGGTACCTATTTTACTGCTAGGTAACAGGGGGCATAGGGTGAAAGAAACTCTGCCCATTGTTTCTCGCCGGCACCCGGGATCGAACCTGGGACCACAGGATCATGGCAACAAACGTGAGGCAGAATTTAGGTCACTTGAAAATGTAGTTTAGCAAAGCGGAAATTTCACGGTAAAAAAAATTCCTAACATAGATTGTGAAAGTTGAGAGATTGTGCTGCTGCTCCTGCTGCTGGTGCTGCTGCTGCTGCTGCTGCTGCTGCTGCACACGACTACACAGGCACACTCCTGCTCAACAGGAAGCTTAGAGGTCAAACTTCGTGCCGAACACACGTCCGCTGCGCTGTCTTGGAGAGCGGCAAACTACAGAACTGATATAAAGATATGTTTGTTAGCGCCACGGTCTCTCTGTCTCTCTCTCTGTCTCTCTCTCTGTCTCTGTCTCTGTCTCTCTCTCTGTGTCTCTCTCTCTCTCTCTCTCTCTCTCTCTCTCTCTCTCTCTCTCTCTCTCTCTCTCTCTCTCTCTCTCTCTCTCTCTCTCTCTCTCTCTCTCTCTCTCTCTTGGTCGCGTGCCTCGTCTCGTGTTTATAAATGATCTAGAAACAAGACTAACGTCAACAAATTGAATGCATTGTCACGAACCCTCATCCCTCCTCCGCCAGATTATTTACATGAATCTGT